ATGATTGGTCCTAATTTCTTCTTAGCAAAATCAACCCAATCTGGCCCGTTTACCACCAACTTGAAATCTGGAACAGTTGAAAAAAGTGCAGAAATTGAGAATATGGCTATGAAAGTAATTAGATTCTACCCAGTATGGTTTCTGGGAATGGTAGTAATGTTGGGAACTGGTGCAAGGAATGCAAGTGCAATTAGCTGTTTGGATGCCATTATAGAGCTGATGCCTTGCCAAGATTATCGGTTAGGGAGCAGCAGCGGGGTGACGGTTCTTTGCTGCGAGGGGGCTCAGGAATTGAACCAGATCGCCTCTTATTCGCCGGAGCGCAGAAATTTGTGCGAGCGTTTTAAGACGACGGCAGCAGCCATGGGGGTTAATGCTGATTGGGCTAAGCTACTTCCCATGCAGGGGCGGATCCAAGAAATTGAGTAAGTTAGTGCGGTTGTTGGTTGTTGAAGGTCGCAATAAAGAGATTATTTATTAATATTTTATTAAAAAATTCTTCAATATAAACATAAAAATAATATACAATGAAAATATAATCCAAAATAATAAGAAAAAAATACAATTTTTTGAATCATATACATATGATCAAGTTTCAATTTATGACAGGCTTAAGCGAGACAAGATAAAACTTATATGTAAAGCATAATTAGATGATAAATACTAATTCCAAACTTAGGCAAAGCTTATGAAAAGATTTTAAAACAATCATTTTTAGAACTATTTTTGACCCCAAAAAATGTGTGTTTTGAACTCGTAAAAAAATAAAGAATAGTAGTTATATAGATTGTCTAAATTTAAATTTTACAAAATAAATTGACAAAATCTAACAATAAAAATATATATTATGCATTGTTATTATAACCGGGCCGATCGTTGATTGTACAAATCATCGATTCAGCGGTTCAACTATTAATTCATTGCAATCTTGAATTTTAGTTAAATAATAATAATTTTTTAAACAAGTAGTCTATTACTTTCTAAATTGAATATATAGTTTCTTGTCACATTTATAAAATTCTTCAATTACCATAGCGGTCAAACATTCCATTACCACATGCAAAGTACCGGTTCGAATCTTACCAATTGCAAATATGATATAAAATTTTGCTTTGAGCAATTTGGAAGTTACAAAACTAAAACAAAAGAGGGGAAGTTCTTGAAATCGAACCTTGTTCCTCTTGCATGTGAAAATAGCACCGTACCATATAAACTACACAACATATTGTTGAAAGTTATAACATTTACAAATATTTAACACTATTCATCAAAGCTTTATAAGCCATTTTTCCCGACGGAGTCAGCACGGGTAGCTGCGTCGGCTCGTCGGGTGCTGAGCCCGTCCCTATTCCCATGCTTTGCAATATTCAGGTTTCGGTGCTGATTGACCCTAATGTGGATTGTAACAGGTTCCCACTATTAACATTAAAATCTGTAAACGGTCAAATTGTGCAAGAATCTTCTAATTTATTCCATTACATACACATATAGAATATATATCACGAAGTGTTGAATGATTGACATGAATGTGGATTCCATGGCAATCTGTGATGAAAGGTGGCAACGCGGAGGATGATCAAATAGAGAATGGCATCAAGAATCGAGTGCAAGTCGTGGAAAAGAGTCAAATAAGATTATAAGAAAAGAATGTTAAGTGTAACAGAAGTATGTATAGGTTTCGGCCTATATACATGGCTATGTAGAAAACTTGGAAAAAAAAAAAAACGTTTTACATGAATTTTGTTATTATCTTCTTCCCTTATAATATTAGCTCCATTGAAATCTCAGTTGAGATTTGGGAAAAAACTAAGCGGCATAATTGTTCAAATTAAGTTGTCAGAGATATTCATAGGTACGTACAAAAGTAACATGTCACAAGATGGTTTTGAGTGTATTTTATATGAATTGAGCTACATCATTTGTTGACCCTGAAAAATGGGTCAGACACGTGGCCAATAGGATAAGTTTTCACATCAGCTTCTTCCTGCACACAATAACACACCGTTAGTCACTCATGACCTTTTTTCGGTGGGGTTGGAAGCGGCCGCGAGCACTCCGACGGTCAGGTCAGTGTTTCAGCTAATCGGGAAGTTATGTCCGACGACGAAGTGGTCACCAGGATGTTTAAGTATATATCAAAAGTTATGATGTAAAACTAGCAAAATTCAAATACCTTACTCTTACCAGTATGGGGATATTTATGCTAGGAAAGAGAAGATGTGGACTACTGGATGAAGGGACACGTGACTTCAGATCCCGTATGAGTCATCATCTCATAGGCGTCAATCTGTAGGTTGGTGGACATTAAATGATTTATGACATGTCAGCTAAATTGACTGTTTGTGACCTGCCACATGTCCCATCAATCAGCCAGGGACTTGACTTTAGAGATCTCCTAAAAGATTTTGGCGAGGGTGTGGCGAGGAGGATTGCGAAGTGCAAAGGGCAGAGTGCGGGCCTTTGCATTCTTCGTGAAGGCGGATGAGTTCGGTTCTTCTATGAGGAAGGGCAACAATGCTTCAGTTCGGAGCTGTGAAATCAATTTGTCCTACATGCATTCAGTTCGTCTGCCACGTGATAACACCAGATCTGTTCGGAGTTTTGGAATCAGTTCGTCTTACATGTATTCAGTTCATCTGCCACGTGGTAACACCAGATCAATTCGGCCAATACGTAGTGGATGAGGTGGATGGACGAGGAGGAGGGCCTCACAAGGCCCGTAACACGATTTTTTATTATTTTTTTCTTCTGGGATGTACGTTCTTTGAAATTTCAACATTTGACCTCGTATCCTTAATCAACTGAGATAATGTTAATCAATGTTTGAATAATTCAATATAGCACCAGTCGTGAGTACCAGTCACATAACTACACTGCACTTGATAGATCCAATTAAACATGTTGATAAATACTTTTAAACGTGTTAATGAAAATCAAGTTCAGAAAACACGATTTAAAGAAGGTTTTCTTAACATTTTTGCTTATATGACACAACAAATTGTCTTAACATCAAATGTTAGTGAACCACTCAACGTTCATGTTTGCATTGGGCACTTATAACCATCTGCTAACCAACTACAAACCCCGCAACCACTTATTAAATACTACATACAAAATTAGGCACTTAATATTTACTTTTCTGGTAACAACAGACAGTTTTACTAATATCACTGACAAAATTTTCCCTAAATTCTGGTTAGAGGTAAGAATCATTCATGTCGCAGCCCGCATTTGGCAAAGTCAGGTGCCTTGGCTATTCGAAACCTATTAATTGTTCTCACCACATTTCCACTATAAATCGGGTCCATAACCTACCCATTTCAACAAATATACTAAGCTGTTTCTACATTTTCTCTTTATTAATCACTATTCACTCATTAATGACGAAATCAATGATGCAGTGGTTTGTGGCAGTGATGATCTTGGTCGTGGTGGCTAGCCACCGTGCCAATGGGGTGATTCAGTGCAACGACGCGTTGTCACAGTTGATTCCATGTGAAAAATTCTTGCTGAGTGGTGATACAACACCGAGCGTTGAATGCTGTACAGGGGTACAGGCTCTGAACGCGATAGCCATGGCGTCGCAGCCAGATCGTAAGGCCATTTGCCAGTGTTTTAAAGAGATTGCAAAATCTTTTTCTTTCAACTTGGTGAAAGCCCAGCAACTCCCACACATATGTCAAGTCAACCTCAAAGTAACAATCAATCCCAATGTCGACTGTGACAGGTATAATTCTTTCTGAACCTACGAATTTTTCGACCCAATTCCTTCAGACGATTCATAGATTTTGCATTTGTATCTAATACATGCACAAAGATGAATTTATATTTCTACCATTCTTCAATCATATGCTGATTTTTTCTTGTTTTGGCAACTATACATGCAGAATTTGAAGGACGATGGAGATGTCATAGTAACGAGTAACGTTGTTTGAGGGGAAATGTGGTTTAATAGTCGTATTTATCGACCTTCTTGTTAGAATGAAAGAGTATGAATTAAGAATAATTCTAGTTCCGCGATTCTTTCTTCTTTTCTTAATTTATCGTCGTGCAAATTGCAGTTTCATCGTTTTACATAACATGTTAAAGACTAGAAAAATGAAGTAGCTTTCACACCTTGCATTTGTGCATCGGACATTCAGTAGTAACCGTAATTTATATCTATATTTTCATCGCGGTACATCATCTTTGAAGAATTATAATGAATTTAGGCACGTTGATAAGTTCAATTTTGAAATTGATAATTTTTTAGACAAAATTTGAATAATTATTAAATCAAGATGGTCAGCAATAAATTTATGATAGGTGGAAACGGAATGGTTGAAAACTTTTAACCACTCATTTTGTGGGACTCATAACATTTATCAACTTTCAACTACAAGTTTCGTACATTTTTATTAAAATCTACTAATATCGTAGTCTATAACTAAACCAAAGAGAGGCATAATAATTTATCCATTTTCAAGAGAAATGAAAACTGATGTATAATAATGAGTTCAGTATAAGATAAATAAAAATAAAGAATATCACTTTGTAGGACCATTTTGATTTTGATTTTTATTAATCACTGAGTGGTATGTTTTATTAAGAAGGAAGAAAAATATAGAGCGTGTTTGGCTAAGCTTAAAATCGAATTAAAATTAAAAATATAGTCGTTATTGTGTCTCGCTTGTCTAATAAAAGTCAACAATAACGGTTAATTTTTCAATTTTAATCTGATTTTAATCTCTACCGAACATGCTCATAGTACAAAATTAGGATAGAGTTTGGCCTAAGCTCCAGACAAAGATTCAAAAAGGGAAAATTTCCATGTCTGAAGACAAGGGAAAATTTCCATGTCTGAAGACAAGGAAATACAACGTAAGATTTAAATAAAATACACTTCATTCGTTTTAGTCATACTTGTTGTCATCATACATCATGTGTAATGTCTTTCTGGCTCGTGGTAACTGTTGGACTCACTATTTAAAGGGAATTTTGTAAAGTGTCTGTTTGTCTACCATTATTGTGATGAAAATAGTGTGATGAAAATGGTATTTTTTGGAGAATGTGTGGTTAAAATTGAAAGAAACTTTATCGGTTTATGTGTAGAATATTTTATTATTTGAATGTGTGGTGAAGATTGATTACTGTAGAAAATAATGTTTTGAAAAATGGTAGACAAACAGGAGAAATGTGTATCAAATTCTCCAAATTCGAAAAGTCAATAGCTACATCCCAGTCTTAGTAGATGTATCAAAAAGTATCTCGACATATTCCCTTATGAAAGGTAAAGTCGCGATCTTACCTCACACTCGGCGCAGACCATGGAATAATTTTTTTTATTAGTACCTTCCATATCCAATCTAATGCTTAAATCATTATCAATTAATCGCTGAACTAATTTTTTTTTATTTTGCAATGTCTCTTTTGAACCAAGCATAGAATCA